GGGGGGGGGGGGAGGGAAGCCACTCAGAAGCAGCCTCTTACGCCCCTGTTGTTTTCCCTGGGCAAGTCTTGGGGTTGCAGTTTTAAATTGTGTTTTAGAGCGTGTGAGCTTAATTAAATTTAACACATCGGAGCAACTCAACTTAAAATAGCAATTCATGGTTTCCGAGAACAGAAATGTCACCCGTTTGTGTGACGGGAAGGGGCCTCTCGTGATTTGAGTCTGTGACAGCGGTGGTGCCAGAAATCATCGCTTGCCTCTCTGTCCACTCCCCTCCTCCACCCTGCTGGGTGCCCTGGGAGGCTGACTAGTGTGCAGCCATGAACTCTGGCTTCTGGCTGGGTTCAGCCCTGGGGACAGGAGCAGAGGAGTGGGCGGAGGGAAGAGGGTGGGGCCAGGGTACTCTTGGTCTGGTTCCCATGCTCTGAGGTTGCCCCTGGCTGCCCCTGCCCCTGGTCTAAATTCCCCAGTGTGTCCTGACAGGGGTGATTCTCCCCCAGACGACATGGAGCAGTGCCTGGACACACCTCTGGTTGTCACAACTGGAGATGCTACTGGCCTCCTGTGGGGCGGGGCCGGGATGCTGAGACATTCTCCAGTGCACAGGACAGCCAGCCGCCAAGACCAAGAATCACTCAGCTGAGGTACCAATCGTGCCCCGGCCGAGAAACGCTGCCCAGAGAGGTGCTGCTCCAGCTGCTCACAGCGAAGGGCTGGAGCTGCCTCCCCCATCCAGGGCAGACTGGTGCTCTTGTAGGAAATAATAGAAATAAACTACCAGGGAAAGGGGTTGTGCACTTGGCTGTCACCATCAGTGCCAACTTGCGGTGACCCTTCCCCAGTGCTTACTCTCCATTTCTGTCCTGTCTGTTCATGAACCAGGAAATAACAGCTCATGGACCAGCATCTGGCTGTGGGCTGCACTGAGTAGAATGGGGCTGCATGATTCTCTCTCTTTTCTGGGTTGGGTGACCTCCCCTGGTATGCTTGGGCTAGAGAGGGTAACAGCTTGGCTGCTGCCAACCATGAGTTATTGCACATTCCCTCGTGGTCCCCCACCCCCACCCACCCCTTGGTAATGAGTCCTCTTGTGAGTAAAGTCTTAGCATCGCTCTGGGAGTGGGTTTCCTGCCCTGAAAAGCCTGACCGATCTGCAATGTTTCCCTAAAGAATGTGGTGGGAAGCCAGGTGTGGGCGCTCATCTCCGGGGCTTGGGCTGTGCCTTTGAGGTCATGGGCAGCCCTTGGAGGGGGTCTCCGTGGGCGAGGGGCACGGCCAGAGGTGGCGAAGCTGGCTGGGAGGCTGCTGCATTCATCCAGACCAGAGACGTGAGGCCTGAGCCAAAGTGTGAGTGTGGAGAAGCCCAGAGGGGGACTGCCAGCCAGGGGGCCGGGGGGATGTGGGTGGGAAGGAAGGTTGATCCAGGATCCAGACCTGGCCTGGGATTCAGTGGTTGGTCCAGTGGGGCCCATGAGGGGGTGGACAAGACCCCATGGGCAGGAGATGAGTTGCGGTCGGTCCTGGAGTCTGAGTAGTGCCCGTTTCACACGGCTCTCTCGTGCAGTGCGTTCTTTCTGCTGCCTGGAGGAGGGAGTGGTCTTGCTTCTAGGTGTGTGGGCTCTGAGATCTAGTGGATCCAGAGCTGCCCTCAGCTGCACCAGGGCCCCCAGAGAGTGAGAGCTGCTGAGCTCCCTCCTCCCCTAAATGGGAACGAGTCCCTCCTCAGGGTTGTCAGGAGAGGAAAGCATGTAAACTTCAGAGCACAAGGTTAGCACGTGGCGCCTGTCATCACTGGTTAGTGCCCTTATTGGTGAAGGCAAACATGACTGCCAGAGGCTGTAGTGAGCCACCTGGCTGCCACTCTCCTGTAAGCAAGCGTGAGCGTGCATGCGCGCGCACACACACACACACACGAACCAGGAGCAGCTTTCTTCTTAGGCCAATTCTTGTGTGAGGCTTTTCCAAGCCTGACCCTTCACCTGGGTGCCAAGGGTCAGCCCTCTCACACCAGCATTGGTGGCACAGCCCAGCTGCGCTCCATCACAGCTTGCTTTCCCTAACTGGGAGGCAGGGGGGAGAGAGGCCAGGCAGAGCCCCTCGCAGTCACAGGTAGAGAACAGGCAGAGAACAGGGCGGTGGCTGCCTGGCACAGCAGTCGGGACCAGAGGTGCTGGGGGCAGGCTGCCTGCCCAGATCCCAGCTCTGCCACTTACTGGAGTGCCACTAGGCAGACGCGTAGCCTTTCTGTCCAGGTTCTATATCTGTAAAAGGGAGAGGATAGTAACAGGACGACCTCCCCAACAACTGTAGGGAGGATGAAATGAGTATCAATCCTCTTAAAGGTCTCAGACAATTGCCTGGCACGGAGTCAGGCCTCAGTGTTAATTACTCCTCTTCATTAGTATTGGTATTGGTATTAGTATTAGAAATGATATTGCTATTGGTGCTGGTGTTGGTATTAGTATTGGTATTGCTATTGCTATTAGCATTAGTATTAGTATTGATATTAGAATTGGTATTGGTATTGGTGTTGGTATTAGTATTGGTATTGCTATTGCTATTAGCATTAGTATTAGTATTGATATTAGAATTGGTATTGGTATTGGTGTTGGTATTAGTATTGGTATTAGTAGTAGCAGTAGTATCAGGCCCTGCTTCCTAAGAGAAGATGGTTTAAACAGTGAGATGATTTCTGGGCCCGCGGATCACCTCCTGGGTCCTGAGGTTGTTGTGAACAATAAATGCAACAGAATGTGGAAACCTTGTCACATAATGGGTTCAATAAACACCTGGCCCATCCCCATCCCCAAGGGACCTGCTCTCACATTGCTCGTGCCCAATGAGGGGCAGAGTGCGGTGACTCAGTGGACAAGAGCCAGGCTGCCTGGGCTTGAGCGCCAGCTCTGCCAGTTATGTTGCTTCCTGACCCCAGAGTCGGTTCCGTCTGCAGGAGGAGGAGCCCATCAGGGGCCACCTCAGGAAGTTGCTGCGGGACTCAGTGAAATGGCGGGCACAGGGCACTGACAGCCTGGCCCCCAGCCACCCTGGGCCTTTGCCCCTGTTCTGGGTGTGGTGGCTCCCGCCTCTCTAACTTGCAACATGACCCCGAGGGGAAGGAAGTGGGCCCGTAGCACTGGCCACAGAGGGCTCCTGCGGCTCTGCCCAGAGATTGCCCGAAAGCCCGAGACCTGCTGGTGGAGGAGTGTGAGGCACAGGGGCCGCTGAACGCTGATCCAGGGAAGGAGGTGGCTGACAGGCCGCAAGCAGATGGCTTTCAGAGACGAGGAACAATGTCCATGGCTGTCCTGTGGTGAGGAGCAAGCCCAGACTGTGGAACTACTAGCTGGTGTTCAAGTCCCAACTGCCCCACCCTACCCGCTCAGCTGTGTGACCTCGGGCAAGACACAGCCTCTCTGAATCTCGGCCGTTCCGCTTCCCTGACATGAGAGCACAGGGTTCCCCAATGTCCCAGGCTCAGGCTGTGGATCCTGCCCCTTTTGCCCCTAGCTCTGCAGCTATGGGCTCAGGGTGAGGGGGGGACGAAGGGCTCTCCATTTGGTGTCCCCAGCAGAGCAGCTGGGCAGGTGAGGAGGGAGGCAGAGCTTCCAGGCTGTGCTGACGGGATGTCAATACCTGCCTGTCAGCTCCCCTCCCCGATGCGGGCTTCCCTGGTGGAAGTTCTTAGCCCTGGAATTTCATAGTTGAGGTCTCAATTAAGCTGCCTGGCTCTGGGTTTGAGGAGTTGACGGCTGCTGATGGAGCCCTTGAATAGCAGAGGCAGGAGAACGGAGGGCCCCTGGAAGCAGGGGGCTCTGTGAAGGCTGTAGAGGGGGACAAGGCACCCTCGGCTGAGGGCAATGTGTATTCCTGCAGGAGGGTTTATGGGTAACAGCATCCTCTCTGGAAACAGCACAGGTGTGATACCTGAACGAGGGCTCAGCGATCAGGGTTGGCGTCCAGGTAGGACCGGCCCAGGTTACCGTAGAGGGTCCCACTGTGGGGAGACCGCTGCTCCATCAGACCCTCCCCTAAGGTGGAGGGGCCCTTGGAGGCCTCCCCGGCCAGAGCACCTCTTTCTGCAGGTCTCGTCAGATGCCCCCGGCCAGCTGTGGCTGTGCTGGAGAACCGTCCTTCCTTCTGGGAAGGAGAATCACCCTCTAGTCTTCAACATTGCCCGGCTCCCACTTTGTCCCGCACACCTTCCCCTCCCCAGGCATGACGGCCATCTGGCCTGAGGTCAGGGCCTTGTCTGTGGTTCAGGGACCCCTGAGTACAGCTCAGGACCCCGAGAGGAGGCTTTGTCAATGTTGATGAGCCTCCAAGGACAGGACAAGGGGGGATCAAGCTTCAGGTGGCCTGGCCCAGGGCCTGACTCTCACTCCTTCCCCTTCCCAGGAGCCTCGGGGATATTTGCAGCAGACATGGCAGAAGCCGGGCTGGGGCAGGAGGCAGGAGGGAGGGTCCCTTTGTTTAATTTCTGCTGCTTCTCAGGCCTTTAACCTCTGCCTCTGTGTCTCCCTCTGCCCTCCCTGTGCTTCCTCCCTCATCTCTGCTGGCTCTCTCCTTTCTTCTCTGTGCCTCCATCTCTGAACTCCTTCCCTGCCTCTGCTTTCCACTCCCCTGCCTTTACTCCCACCTCTGCGGGTGGTTCCCACGTTGACCGCTGATGTCTGTGGACATCTCCCTCCGGCACGCCTACCCTTGACTCCCTCACTTCCCTCTTCACTCGGCCTGTCTTTCCCTGGTTCTTACCTGGGGCCTTCTCCTCGCATCTGACTCCTGCACTATGCCCTATGCTCCCCTCCCCTGCCTGCCCCACCTCTCCCTTCCCTGTCTCGTCACCTGTCCGTCTCCTGCGCTGCCTCATACTGTGTCCCTGTGTCTCTCTCGCCCCCACTTCTCCATCTGTCCTATGTCAACCCCCCTCTGTTTCTGCCTCTGACCCCCACCACTCTGCTGTCCCTGCCACCGCTGCCCTCTGTGCCCCCCACCCACCCCAGGATGATCCCAGCTTCCAACAAGGCCTTCGTGGTCAACAACCTGGTGTCCGGGACCGGCTACGACCTGTGCGTGCTGGCCATGTGGGACGACACGGCCACGACGCTCACGGCCACCAACATCGTGGGCTGCGCCCAGTTCTTCACCAAGGCCGACTACCCGCAGTGCCAGTCCATGCACAGCCAGATCCTGGGCGGCACCATGATCCTGGTCATCGGCGGCATCATCGTCGCCACACTGCTGGTCTTCATCATCATCCTCCTGGTGCGCTACAAGGTCTGCAACCACGACGCCCCCGGCAAGATGGTGGCCGCCACGGTCAGCAACGTGCACTCACAGACCAATGGGGCGCAGCTGCCCGCTGTGGGGGGTGTGCCCAGCGGGGCCCCCGCCCCGGCCCCAGGGCCGCCCAAGGTGGTGGTGCGCAATGAGCTGCTGGATTTCAGTCCCAGCCTGGCCCGGGCCAGTGACTCCTCTTCCTCCAGCTCCCTGGGCAGCGGGGAGGCCGGGGCGCTGGGGCGGGGGCCCTGGAGGCTCCCGCCCCCTGCCCCGCGCCCCAAGCCCAACCTTGACCGCCTGATGGGGGCCTTCGCCTCCCTGGACCTCAAGAGTCAGAGAAGGGAGGAGCTGCTGGACTCCAGGACTCCTGGCGGGAGAGGGTCTGAGACACCGGCCAGGGGCCACCACTCGGACCGAGAGCCGCTGCTGGGACCACCTGCGGCCCGGGCCAGGAGCCTGCTCCCCCTGCCCCTGGAGGGCAAGGCCAAACGCAGCCATTCCTTCGACATGGGTGACTTCGCAGCTGCAGCGGTGGCAGCAGGAGGGGGCGCCCCGGGTGGCTACAGCCCCCCTCGGAGGGTCTCGAACATCTGGACGAAGCGCAGCCTCTCCGTCAATGGCATGCTCTTGCCCTTTGAGGAGAGTGACCTTGTGGGGGCCCGGGGCACGTTTGGCAGCTCCGAGTGGGTGATGGAGAGCACGGTGTAGGCTCGGGGTGTCCTCCTCCTGCAGGTGGAAGGGGAATCTTTACTGGCAAGTCTTTGTGGGGTTTCCATGGTGATGTTTACATCCAGGGACAGTTGAGTCTCACTGTCAACTCCCCCAGCACCTCCCAGGCCTGCCCCCCACCCCCTGCCCAGCAGGGTGTGCTCAGGGAAAGCGACTTGACCACCAAGTGTCAGATGAGCCCTGAGGGTTTGGAAAGGCCGACACTCGCCTCTCCAGTCACAAATGCAGCGGATAAGCAAGCGCGTTGGATGCTTCCGGTTCTGGTGTTGTTTTTATTGGTTAATTTATTTTCTCCCACTTCCCAAGCACCCCCTCTTCACTCACACAGATAACGGGGAGTTTGCTCTCCATCTGAGAGTCAGTGCCGGGGCCCTGTGTTGGCCGTCACTGCCAATGGAGAGAAGAGGCGGATGGTGGTTCCACGTGTGTTTGGGGGAGACCCCTTATTATTCACAGCCGTCCCCACAGTTGGAGGGTTGAGTGACCCCCATAACTGACCCAGCTTCTCTTGCTCTCACACATGACTGTCCACATCCATCACATCAGCTTAAACCCCAGGTGGCTTCCAAGACTCCCCATGTCCAGGAGAGGGGCCGGGGTTCTGAGGCTCCGGGCCTGAGGGATATAAGCTCTTGGAGTTCCTTTGGGATTTGTGCCTCTTTGGGTGGGAGCTGGGACAGGAAGTCCCCATGAGCATGTGGTGGGCCAAGAGGACTTCGTAAGGAAGGCAGGGTGGGTTGCCATAAGGAGCTGGACTTTGAGTCCAACGCTCTGAGGCAGGGTCCCAGAGCCACCATCGAGTCAACCAGCTGAAAACACTGGGGGCTGGGGGTCCTTTCCTCTCTTTGGACTTCAGTCCCTAAATCACAAAATACTGGGTTGCACCGGGCCATTCCAGTTCCAAGGACTCATGAGCTCCCATGGCTTTAAATGTGAGGTCTCCAGCTCGGCGCCCCAGGGCGCACAGGCTGGTGGAGCAGCCCCTCCCCCTCCTGCTGCGCATGGGGGACCCTAGAGGCTTTGCAGGGAGAGCCGAGCCTTTCCAGTGTCGTGGTTTTGAAGCTGGAAAAGGTGCTTGCAATTATCCCCATAACCCTTTCTCCCCGCCCCCCGAGCAGAAGGGACTTGCCCAAGGTCACACTGTGAGCTAGTGACCACGCCAGCACAGAGGCCAAGGCAGCCTTCCCCGGGGGGATGGGGCGTCTGTTCCCAGGTCTGCACCCTGACCAGGGCATGTCTGTGAATAGAGTCTGTCCTCTGTTTGTTCCTGAAGGAGCTGGCTCAGGGTGGGGTGTGGGGGGCCTTCCCTCGATGCCATCTCTGAGCAGGGCCCGTGTGTGGAAATGACACGATGGTGATGGGAGGGGCACATGGGCTCCCTCCACGTGGGACCAACCCCACCCTCCCACAGAGACGTGGCCGGGGAGACACCGCCCTCGGAGCCTCGGAAGGACTTGCCTCATCTCTCTCTCCCGGCCTCCGTTCCAGGCCTCTCCGCATTGCCAACGCACTACCTCTCACTGGTCTCCCCAACTCATTCTCCCCCTCCCATGCCTCCACCATTGCTCTCTTGTCCTTCTCCCTCCTTCTTCTACTTGCCAACCACACAGCATACAGAGCATACAGGTGAGTCTGTCTGGGGCTGGAAAGTCCTGATGGGCCCAGGCCTGGAGCTGAGCTGTGGCCCCCACCCCAGCCCAGAGCACACAGGAGGGTGGGGACTGTCTATGCAGGATTGCCTTCTGGCTCCAGCCCAGGAGCCTCCGAACCCCATGCCTTCACCCTTCCTTCCCACTCCCTCCCTTTCCCCTCGCCTCACCTTCCCGCTACCTCCTGTTTTCACTCTTCCTGTGACTCTCTGCCCTCCCCAGTCCCTTTCCGGTCCTGACAAGGTCATTCACGACGAGGCCAGTCTCTTCCTGAGACCATACGTTAGTTTCCCAGGCCAGTCCCTGTGCCAGAGCACAGGCCATCCCCCGTCATGGAGGCACCCACAGAGGGGACCTGAAACATCCCCCACCTCCCTCCTCCCCGACCCGTTTCCTCCTCTCTCTCTTCTCTGCACCTTTCTCACTCAGCCTTTCAAAATGTAGCCATTGAAGAAGTGACCCCAAACACCACCTTTCTTTCTGCCTTTGGGTTCAGACACCCGAGGGGAAGCGGTGGACACGGGGAGGGGGAACCAGGCGTCTGTTCCCGTCAGTGGCTCCGAGCTCTGTCGTGACATGATATGTACTTGCGTGTGTCTGTCATGTTTCTGACTTGGGTTAGGAAAGCATCATTCCTGTGGTCAGAATATAAATGCCAATCTTCTCCTTTGCTAAAAAAAAAAAAAAAAAAGTACAGTAAAATGTACAGTTTTAAAAACAACCAATCAACCACGCTTCTTGGGGGAGAGAAAAAGAGCAATCTCGTGTCTGTGAGTGTCTGCTGTCCATTTCTCGGGAAACGCTGCCGTCTTCTAACGGGCTTCGCAGTGGCATTTGCCCGCACACCTGTGCTTGTCACTGCCGGGTGGGCGCCTGCTCCCTGTCAAGTTCACGTATAAGACGGAAACCTGAAAAAGAGAGAACGAGGCCGTCCTCCGGAGTACAGAGCAGTAGAGGGGTGTGGAGTGAAGCTCCGGGTTAAAATAGACTAGCGCATCCCCAGCTGCCCTGCCTGTCCCACCTGGTAAGGGGATTCTCACACACCACCTGCCTCTTCTTTCCTGGGCCGTGGCCACCACCACACTGAGCCACTAGGGGCGCACGTGTGCCTTCCACCCATTTTGGTTGAGCTGGAGGGCACTTTCTCACAAAGGGTCTTTTACTGGGGAATCAGTACAGCAGCCCAAAGCACAAACCCAAAGTGCAGACACAAATGAGCTTCTAGAACACAGCTTCCCAGCCCTGCTTTCATCTAACGTCTACATCAGCACTGAACAATAGGCATGACGTGGGAGCCACAGTGGCCTCTGACATTGTCCAGTGGCCACATTAAAGCAAGTTTAAGAAACAGGTGAAATTAATTTTAATTATATATGTTATCTAACTGGATCTATCCAAAATATTATCATTTCAACATGTAATCACTACAAAGTTATTTTTTTAAATATATTTTATTGATTTTTTACAGAGAGGAAGGGAGAGGGATAGAGAGTTAGAAACATCGATGAGAGAGAAACATCGATCAGCTGCCTCCTGCACACTCCCCACTGGGTATGTGCCCGCAACCAAGGTACATGCCCTTGACCGGAATCGAACCTGGGACCCTTGAGTCCACAGGCCGACGCTCTATCCACTGAGCCAAACCGGTTAGGACACTACAAAGTTATTAATAAGACGTTTAACTTTTGTGGCACAAAGTTTTGTATGTTTTGCACTCATGCCACGTCTCAGTTCAGACCAGCCACTTTTGAAGGCATGTGTGGCTCAGACCGGCCCCATTGGACAGCACAGCTCTAGACATACAATGATGGACGCAGAAGCCCAGCTTCTGGGAAGAAACTATTGTTGGTGAGCACCTGCATTTTCAGGAACCGTGCTGGGGTTTCACACGCATTCCTCACTGAGTCCTCACTTCAGCCTCTCTACCGAATTGTTATGCCCATTTTACAAATGAAAGGATTTAGGCTCAGAGGGGTTAAGTCACTTGCCCAAGGTCACACAGTAAGTCTGGCTACGAAGTCTTAGATCGGTCCACAATATCAATGCTGCCTCTGGTAGCCTTCCTTCCTCCCTTCAACCAGTTACAGATGGCAAGTCACACTGGTTGAAGTCTGCAAATGTATAGCCCCACCTAGAAGCCCTTGGTTTGACCTCCAGGTCTGGTAAGATTCTCAGTGTTGACTCCCGCAGAGCTTCAGTGGTTCCTTGTGGCCTCACTGGCCGCTCTGGCCCTTCTTGGCTGGTAGCACATTCCCTCCTTGGCCAGGATGCTCCCTGCAGGCTTCAGACAGCCCTGCCCAGACCACTCTGCTGGCCATCCCTTCTCCTTACCTGAGGACTTGTTTAATGCTTTCTACTTCCAGCCTCGTCTGTTCCCTCTGCCCCGATACCCTGTAACTTCATCCCCTTAAGATAGAAAGCCTCAGCCCTGGCCAGTGTTTCTCAGTGGGTGGAGAATCAGCTCATGCACTGAAGAGTCATGGGTTCGAATCCTGTGCAAGGACACAAACCTGGGTTGCAGGTTCAATCTCTAGGCCCTGGTCGGAGCATGTGTGGGAGGCAGCCAATCTCTCTCTTCTTTCTCCCTCCCTACCTTCCACTCTCTCTAAAAATCAATGGAGAAAGTATCTCCAGGTGAGGATTAACAAAGAAACAAAATGATAGGAAGCTTCATACCAGCTTGCTGCCATGACCAGACCCATCTCCCACCTCTTCCGGCTCCAAAATCCTTGTCCCCGTCAGGAAAGGTGTTTTCCCACCCAGCCCCTCTTCGCTGATGGAGAGAAGCCGTCCACCTCTGATCTTTTGCAGGAGCAGGCAGCGCACACACTCAGAGTCTGCTTGAATCGTTCACTCCCCGGTTTCCCAGTTCTTAATAATGACACGGCCTTCAGGCTCTCCTCACAGGAGATGTTTTTTCACTTTCCTATCATGATAGTGTCGATATTCCCAAAGAACTAAAACACACGCATCTGTTTTTGTTTTTGTTTTTTTGAGGGACCTAATTTCCAGCCACGTAAGAGGAAGGTCGCTGTCTCAGAAGCAGTCCTTTCAAAATGAGTAGTGACTTTCTCCCGGAGTCTGTGGCATTGATGTTTGCGGGTGCGGAGTACAGCCCGGCACTTCGGAGCCTTCTATTCTCTGTTCTCAGCGTGTCGCAGCGAAGGTCTCGGGGCTTCGCGAGCTGGGGGCACTGCCTCTGTGCTTGCAGCCACTGGGATCTCTGCAAACCGCTGCTGGGAGGACAGACATGCTATTCAGGAGAACAGGCAGCAGTCAGGACCTGAGCACCGTTCTCATGACACACCTGGGTCCCCAGCCATTCCCTGACACGCTGCTGGCAGCCAGGAAGATCTGTTGTGACAAGAAGGCTGCTCCCAGGCAAATACCTGAGGTTCCTACCTTGGTGTTACAATAGGAGCCGACCCGTCCAGATTGCTCTCCCAGTGTCTAGAAGGAACACTGCCTCCTTCACAGTGTAAATATCTGTGCTTTCGGTCTTTAAACCAAAGACCTTAGTTTCTGAGCCCCATGACCTCATTTAAGGTTCCCCAGCTCCCAGCCAGCCCATGTTTGCAACAAGGCTCATTGGTTTCCCTTTACTGCAGCCTCTAGCGGAGGGAAACAGACAAGCTTCCCACAGACCAAGGCGAAGCTGGCCCTGCCCCCTGACTGCCCTGTGTCCTGTGGTCCTTTCAGCCTCTTCCCACAGGCACAGTGACCGTGCCCATGTCTTCATCTCAGACAGTGTTCGGCACCTTTCTTCTGCTCACCAGCTCTGGGGAAACGGGCCTGGATGGCAAGCTCTTGGTTGCTGATTTTCCTTGTTGAGATAACTGAGTATCTGGTCCCTTTAGCGAACAGTCGAATGGCTCCTGATAGCATTCTCCTCCACCATCTTGTGCTGGAGTTTCTCTGGGGCTGGAGCCAGAAAGGCCTCGTTCTCTAGTTCCTTTCTGAGATGTCAGTGTATCCTGCAGTTACCGGCTTGGTTCCTATGGATGAGGGGGTGAAGCTGGAATTTTACCCATCTCCACGGGATCCCCACACCCATCTGGCCAGCACCCAGTCGGCACACTGTCCAGCCTCTCTGTCCAGCTGCCTGTCTGGTGAGGTGATGATGGCCGCCCCCTTCTTTTGCCATCTCCTCTGTAACATGTGCTTGTTGGTGCTCCTGGCACACCCAGCAACGACTCTACCATCTATATACTTCGCAAGGGTGAGTTTTCTTTCCCTGGACTCCCTTATGTCATATCCATGATGTCACCCAAGCTGTGGTTACCTGCTGTGACCTTCCTGATACTGTTCCCACCCTCTCATGAAGAAAATCTCAGAGCCCCGCCTCTGTCCCCTCCATCACTGACCTGGCATATCCTGGTCACTGCAGGTATCTTGCTCACCATTTGAGTAGGAATATGACCAAGAAGAAGAGAATTAAGTTCTCAGTTACACCAAATACTCCTCAATGCTCCCCTCCTGGTTCCCTGTCACACTCTCTCCACCTTTCCTTGGGATGTCTCAGGATACAATTTTGTTGTCCACGAAGGATGAGCTAGTTGGCTTCCTACCCAGACTCATTGCAGGAAAGTCCTTTCCCTTCATTAGGTTGACAAAGGATTGGCTTTTTTCAAGTGGATGTTGAACTGCAACATGAATTTGATACTAATAACAGCTGACTTTCATTGAGAGTTTCCTGTGTTCCATGCACTGTTCCCAGAACTTTATATAGATCACCTCAATTTAGCATCAAAACAACACCATGAAGCAGGCATTATCCCATTGCCATTGGCCAAGCGAAGGGAGAGAGGGGTTATCAAAGTTGCCCAAGTCTCCACAAGTGACCGGCAGAGGTGGGTAAACAGTTAATAACTGCATTGGCCTGGGGTTGCCTGCAGAGCTGCGGGGTGGTGAGAAACGCAGTTTTCTGGGTTTCATGTGGAAAGCCTAATCCTGCTGTGTGAACCTTGACTTTGAGGAGACTGAGCCCCGCAGAGAAAGTGAGAGAGGAGAGGAGTCAGTGCTGCGTGTGGTCAACGTGCAGTTGCCGACCAGTTATGTCCCCACTCGGTGCCTGATTTCGAGAGAAATCCAAATAAAAATGACGGACACTGGGCACGCCCTTGGCTACACATGCTCCCCTGCAGGGCAGCAACGTAAACTGGCGTCTTGATCTCTGGTTTTACACAGATGGGTCTGTGCTCACTCATTTCAAGATAATATGTAGCTTTGGGGAACCTACTATGTCAGAGAAGATGGCTGGGGGTTGGCCAGGGACACAAGCCCAAGGAGGCACCTCTGGCTGGAAGAATTCACTAGATTTTAAGTTCCAAAGGGACCAGGTATTAGGAAATGACTGGCTTTGGGTCAAATTGGGGCCCAGCCAGGGACTGAAGTCCCCAGCTGGGGACTGCACTGGACGAGAGGTGGGAGGAGGCCAGCTGGGAGCTGTGGGGAGGGGTGGGAGGTGGGATAGAGCACAAATCAGGCCCAGAGGGGCAGCTGCAGAGAACAAGGGTCCTGAGTCACTCAGGCAGGTGCAGCCATTCCTGGGGGGAGGCGCCTTTCCTTACAAAGAGCTGGATTCATAGCCTGTTTCTTGGCCTCAGTTTCCTGCCCAGTGAAGTATCGATGGTAAGTATTGACTTTGGTAAGTACGCCA